TACACATCATCTATGCATTCCCTGTGCACCTGACTTGATTGTACTTCAACAGATGTGTCTGAGACTTGCAGAAAACTCATCAGGGAGATGGGAGGTAGGGAAAAATGGGAAAATAACAATGATACTGTTACATGTACTTTTAGTTTTTTCAAAATGCTATTCATAAATGCAGTTTCAAAATACACAATTTATTAGAATGCAGCCTGAGACCAGGAAGCCACATGAGGGTGCAGCCCTCCTTTGGATTCCTGTGACGAAGGAATAATGCTCATTGGGAACCTTCTGAATTATTGGAATGAAGGCTGAGGCCAGGAAGTGTATCACACCCAGCTAACTCTATTACTGTTCACCCTGTCTACACCATGCCCAACAATTCTACTTGAAGTACCTATCATAATGCCTGAATTATAGGCAATTTCAATCCTAATATTTGCCAATTTCATTCGCACTGGTCCATAATCACCAACACTGGTTATTATATCAAACCATTGAGCAAAGCATTGAGAGTCTCTGTGCCAGGGTGAACAATGATTGCACATGACGGTGAGAACTGTGAATGAAGATGCCCATTGTCTCAGGCAATTTGCCATGTCCTTGAATTGATTATTATCTGTCTTTACATGCAGCTTAGACATGCAATCGGCGAATGGTGTATTCTTCCAAGGAAAGTGTTTAATGATGAATTTGTTCCTATCAACACAAATGGTATATATAAAATTGTGCTCAACTTCTGTGGCTGTACGACCTCCCAGACACATACCAAACAACTCTTGCATGTGGGTTGGTTTCCATCAACATCTACTGATCCATGAACGGCTGCAACATTTCACATTCTTCATCACCACCATATCCTGTCCTTTGAGTCAAAGGCCTCTGTGTATGAGTTTTATCACTCACTGGTTCATTTAACGGATAACATGGGCTTGATCAGATGAAAGGTAAGTTTTAATCTCACTAAATGTAATTCTTTCAGCTCACACTATCATTTCAGGATTGATATGAATCTTTCATGCACATGGTCCATGAATAGTGTCACTTAGTAATGTTAAAACACTCAGGGTGTGGCCATGATCCAAGTGGTGTGGCGGGTACTTCAGAGGGTCAGTGTGCTGTTGTCATATCCCATATATCTACACTTCTCTTCCGGACTTTGGACCCCTAGATCTGATCTGGTCCGATGCATAGATCCGCTTCTGATCCGATATAGATAAGCTTCTTAATTCATTTCCTGTTCATATAACATTAAACACAGCCTATTTGGTATTTTCTTTTTTCCGTTGTTTCGGCTATATCTATCACTGGTATGCTTACTGATCCATTAACCTATGTTAATTTCTGACTTGTGTTTGTTAACCTTTGCATATGCTTCATACATAGCCTTGGACTCTGCTTACTGATCTTTCCATTATGTCTCTTAGTATATAAACTCATGTATATGTCCTGTATGTAAGTACTCAAGTTAAACTTCTTCATCTTTTGACCACCACTCTCAGTGTCTAGGTTCTTGACACCTGAGCATTCATGTGCTGCTTTACGTTCCTGAGCAGCCTTCTCCTTCAGCAGCTCCGCCATAGTGAAAGCAGCGTATGTGAAATCACGGAATCTGCACAACTGATAGGAGAGCCTCTTGAATGTGTCATCGAGAGCTGACAGGGTAGTTTCAGAGTGCATCCGGAGTTTTGCAAGGGTGTGCCAATGTGCAAATCTATATAATAGTGACTGTACCACCATATCATGGTCCCCAGGGAAAAGCCCTTTGAAGACGGGCATAGCGCACTGGGATATAGATCAATGATACACAAAGCACAAGATGCAAAAAGATGGACCTGCAAGATGTCTTCAAAGTCTCATGCAGCAAGCCTTTTCATCTCCGATGTATTGTTGGAAAATCAGTGCATGATCACATTACCATATGAAGGAACTTGACGAAATCTAAGTTTAACGATGTCAGTGTTGTACAGAAAAAAAAGGATAACAAACCTCTGGTCAACAAGTGCAACCAGTTTATTGCCCCCTGGGAGTGCGTAAAGCAAACATAGAAGATGCATAAAGAGCACCTTCCATGTGCCCAGCTCACATTTTTGCATGAAATCAACTACAAGCATGCGGAAAGTGTCGAATCTTAGTGGGCCAAACTTTCCTACCAATGCATTCTGTTCAGGAATCAGGTACTAATCAAATCAACTTGTTTCAAAGTTGGTCTCACCACAGTTGGCACCCATGACCCCTCCCCAAGGGTAGCCTGAACTTTCGAGCCATCAACAGTATTTCCCCACATATAGATGAATTCGCGGGCCATGGTAACCCTTGCAAGAGAGTATGATCTAAGCTTGGCTAGGCGATCTTGCACGTCTCTCACAAGGCCCAAAAGATCAAATGAGGCTTTTGGAATGAGGCAGCGTGGGCATGGGCAAGACCCCATGTCTTCAATTGTCGCTATTAAAACCCTGAAAAGACAATTAGTACCTGGGGCAAAAAGTCAAAGAGCATACTTGTCTGGGTAATCCACTGAATAAGTAAAGATCCATGGATAGACCCTTCTCCATTTTCCATCCAGACACATGAGCACAATTCCATGACAGTATATGTGCAGAAAGTCAGCATCCAATAAAATATTCCAACATGCCTGAAATAAAATATTCCAACATGCCTGAAATAACTCTTGTCGACAATGGGTGTGAAGGGCTGCCATGCCACTCTTGGATATGCAAGGCAGGCTGCTAAAAACATCCTTTATTCTATCTGGAAGCTAAAAGGACATCAATGACATTGTACAGCATCAGAAAAAAGAGGCTTACTGAAGGCAGGAATCCCATAAGATGACATGTGCCAGAGCTGGGCGTTGAGCATGCGTACTTACTCAAATTTCTGAAGTACTAGTAAAGGGGCCAAGCCTTAGCCATTCCAAAATTTGCAAGGTGAGTTGCATCAGAAAAGAACATAAGCCCGGCGATGACACATTCCAGTGAGCAGCCAGGTTCCTTTGACTGCCTCTGCAGCCCATCCTGAGCTTCTAGCCAGTTTAAAAGGAAATAGATGGAATGTGTTAGCTTGTATGTCAATTTGGGATGTCAGCAGAACACTTCAAAATTTATTGCTGCCATTCCTGTCTTTCCCAAGGCTAACTGGAAATGTCAGTCTTATGTTATACACTGATGCTTACCTTGGCTTCATGTCAGGGTCATCTTACTGTTGTAGTACAAACTAAGTGCTAGTGTCAGCCTCGTGGATTGCACCTATCCTCTTTATAAGGCGCTAAAGTAACTGAGGTACATATACTGTTCCATTTAGGTAATATGATCAGAGTTTTGTCGCGCAGCATGTCTTCTTAAACAAGTTGTAAATACCTACACATCTGAATGATATATTCAAGTCAGGAATTTCCTGTAAGGGTCTGTGGCCTATCTGAGTCGCAACCTTGGTGCTTGTCTCGATAACTCTACTTGAAATTTTTATTGTCGCTGCTTTGTTGGAAGATGTATGCGCAACTTTGATGGTCATTATTTACTTGCACTTCATCACACACAAGATGATTTTATTCATTGTAGTGTTGCAGAAGAGTTTGATGCCCATTTGAATGATAACATTGGTGTTCATCTCAACCAGTATGGGTCTGCAGTTCACTTCATGAGCTCCCATGGCATGTTTCATTCATACACAAGTTCACATCCAAAATGATATGTTGAGGATATGACAACTTGGCTGGTTGACTTAAAATTTCATCTTTGCTTCGCAAGGTCAAGTAAACCCCCCTGCCAAATTTACGGGGATTGTAGCAATTGTTGACTATATATAGTTAACTATGACATTTAAATCTGTTCACCAGTTCACTGATGATCAGGTTGACCCCACCATTAGTGCAACCTGCAAAATGGTCTCCCCTAAATGAATGAAGATAGCCGCACTGTGCACAGAAGATCACTAGTATGTAAATTTGAGCGAGTGCTAGCGCTTGGGGCTTCATGCAACTCACCAAAGTTTTGGCATCAGAGGGAGTCTTTTCGGGTCATAGACCATATGTCCGAGTCATTTGCATTCATCAGGAAAACCCTATACTACAAATTTAGGCTAAGTATGTAAAACTTTCTCTAATTTATGATAATTTTGATAAAATAGACAATTTATATGTAATGTAGAATAATGTAACGAAATAATTTGCACATCATCTAAGCGTCACAAAACTATGCCTATTAATATGACAATTAACAAAGAAGGTGTCACATTCTTCAAGAACACTGTTGACTGTCCAGTGTCATGGTGCAACAGCTCCAAACCTTGGCATGAGATGGATGCTGTGGGTAATATTAGACACAGGAATGATACTTGTGACTCTCTCACCAGACTTGATCAACTGACTAATTTTGTACATGCTGTGTCTTGGATCTGGTGTTGCAGAAAAGGGAGTAAACCACTCCACATACGTGAGATGCTTTGGGGGTTGGTTTGTTGGAGGAAACAAAAACTGTATTGCCAATGCTGGAATTGAGAAAACAAGATGAATTTGACCTACATGGAAGCTTATAAACATTATTATTCAAGTATGACAACAGAAGCCTTTAGTAAGTTATACCTTTAACCCCAACAAAACTACCAGTACTGTCATTGATAAGTGCAGTATCAAAGTGTGCTGGTACCATGTCATTTTTGTGTTGGGCATTGCGATGGGGTCTAGCATGTATAAAATCCACTGTGACAAGTGGATCACCATGTCCCCGAGCATTGGTTGACAACTACTTTATCTTGTGATACACAGGAACAGTGTGGAAAGGCAGATGAATACCTGCAGCAAGGTTTTCCAGGCACTGGCGAGTAATCACCTCATTTGGATTCTGTTGTTGTGTGATGTAATGAGTGAGGGGCTGTCAGAAGTAGGTTGCACCATAGTCAGTGATCAATTTTTGAATGGGGACAGCTTTAGCACTTGGATGCTTTGTCAATTTCTGGGTGCAATCAAAGTGTAAGTCAGGTGGATGTGGATGATGAGGAGCACGATCCCCATCAAGACGCCATCTTATGAACTGCTCATGATGAGTGATCTTCTCCTTCTGCTCTAGCCACTTTGTCATCTGTATAAATTCATCCTTATGATTGGTCGCATGGTAGGCATACTTGGCAAGATCGATATGTAACTGCTTTGTGTACTCTGTGTTATAATTATCTGTCATCCCAAAAGTTCGAATCATAGTCAAGTAGTGGCATCCTGAGTGAAGCTTCGGGAGGTTGAAATTGGTTCGGATTCTAAGGTCAATGGATATCTCCTTGTTGTCATGAAAGAGAGCATGAGCTTTATCCAGTAAAAACAGTGTCTCAGAACTATGACATGGGTACTGCATGAGGTAAAGGAAGTTGAGAAGACCGCGCACAGCCTTGAGGAGGCAAGACAAAGCAAGGTTTCCAGGAAGTTGAGTATTGATGATGATACCGAGGATAAATCAGCATATTTGACTGTGTTCAGTACCACTGAGATTCTAGAGTATCATGAGCTTGTGTGAATTGCAACTCCCACTCAATATGCTGGAGGTGGGGATCACAAACATTGGTATTCAATGCAGACAGGAGCCACAGCTTTGTAAGCTCAGTATTGTTGAGACCACTGGTTGCTGACGAGGTGACGAGCAAACACACCGACAGGATATATAGAAGTTGGGTCTGCCTCCAGCAGTCAATCTTTTGATGAAGAGACATCCACATGCGGAGGACACTCAACTTCTGTGAGTCTGTGGCATGAATGCCTGTGTTGTCGATAATAACCTTCAAGTGCAGCCTTATAGACCTTTTTAGTGTGGTGAGGGAGATGCATGTGAATCACTAACTGTTCTTCTTCAAGGTCCATGCCTGATGCAATAATTACACTTGACAATACATCAGGGTAAAGCAAAAGATCTACATCATGCTTAAGCTCCTTGGCCTTGAGCTGGGCCAAGCTCAAGTGTGCGCTTGCTTGTATAATTGCTGGTAGATGTATTAAGTAGGGTACACCAAAGAAATTAAACCAAACTTACCAATGCCTTTCAGCTCTAATGAGTTAGTAACCATCATATCATGTGGGTTTTCCTTTTATGCCTCTATTTCGGCCTTCCAGGCCATGTGGTTTTCAGAAATGATGACACTATCAAACTCCTTGAATGTAGTACCATGTTCGACCTTTTGTGTTCAAGCTTCCTTCATCTTGAGCAAGAGCGATGATCCTAAGTCTAACTCTATTAGTTTTCAAGCATATAATACTGTCCACCTAGAGCTCACCAAGTCCGGCCACTTTCTTCCAGTTCCAGTCACCAAAATGATCGTCTAGCATATCCCTATAGCATCCTGGACCTATACCCTCCATGCTTGAAGCTATGGGATTAATATTGGACCAGCCTTACTCTGGTGCCTCACCATTCATGCACCCCACAAAGCAAGTAAAGTTGAATAAAAAAATCATTTGGCACTTGGAGATGTGTGCAGAAAGATGAAACTTGGGCACAAAGAAGCAGATCGTCCTCGCCAGATAGTTGAGGGTGGTGTGAAGGCAGCAAAGATAGCATGTGTGACCACAGATGCTTGTGCCACTGACAAGCAATATTATATGACACATTTAAAACATCTACTGTCAAGTGTCATAATGTAGAGAAAAAGAGATAATCCATGTTCAGATACCTTATTGTGTTTGTCAGATCAGATTATAAAATTAGTGGGGGAAAACACACACTTTTCTCCTTTTTGAAGGTCGCTGACTCCATCAGGACAATTCATAATATGACCCACACAATTGACAGTACCCACTCCCATTGCTGCAAGTCCTTGAGATAACTTGGTATCTGCCATATTCATGGCATTATGATTCAAGCATGTGCTTTTCTGTAAGTTAAATGGTCAGATGGCACCTGGATGCAAGCAGTGAGAAAAACACACCTCTTGTACATTCCCAGCTCTGTCTGAGATATAAGACTTGTAAGATGTCTCCTCTCTGACATAGGCCCAGCCTTGTGAAAGGCTAGGATCAGTCTTGTCAGATGACACAGCCCATCTTTTCAGGCAGAAATTGGCATCAATTGTCAGAAACAGATCATATAGCCAACTGAGACATGGTCAGCACTCTCAACTATCCTGTGATATACATCGGACAGACTCACCCTTTGGACTTTGGAGTATCTTGCCAATTGTCTGGCAGATTTTTCCCAGGTTGCAGACATGCAGGGCATGTTACAGTAACATAATGTGAGCCCCCAGCTACAGATAGCCCTCTGCCACCCTGCATAACAACGACATGATACCCGGGCTTTTAGGCCTTGATGACAGATGATGACAGAAGGTGTCAGCTTAGATAAGCAGTCTGGACCGCATATGACAACATAGGTCTAGAAGACCTATTCTTGTTATCAAGATAGAAGACAAGCCTCATGGTTGCCTCATGTACTGATAGAAGGATGCCTAACGGTCCTTATCATAGATACATACAAATTTCATGCTATGGGAGATTATGTGTGATCAATCTGGCTCTTTGGGACAACAGACTCATTTACAATGCAGATTGTAAGTGAATGTGGCATATTTTCTTATTTGTCTGATTTCAGAACTAGGGAGAGTTGGCACATAGAGCGCTGAAAGTGTTCTATCCTTTAACTAATAAACTAGACACCCCAGCTCAACTTGCTGAACTTAAACACTGTTGATGTGTCCTATGGCGCATAGCAGAAACACGCCAAAGTTTGTGGGCTATCCAGCAAGCACCAATCGACCTGCCTGCAGGGTTCAAAGGACATCACTACATTCCACTTAGCCACAACAACCCATTCCATATCTTTAGATTTCTTCAAGAACACAGTAATGACCCAGCTGTAGCAGTATGTTCCCATATTACCCTATTCTCTGACCCTACTCATAATAACTTATAGGTGTTTATACCGAAGCTCAAGGATCACACTTTATATCGACTTCGGAACTTAGACGTCAACCATTGCAACCATAAATTCACAGAAGATGAACACAATTCAGTCATCATCCCAGACAA